TTATTTTTGAGACGGAGTTTCGCTCCTTTTGCCCAGGCTGGAGTGCAATGGCTCGATCTCAGCTCACTGCAACCTCCGCCTCCCGAGTTCACGTGATTCTCCTGCCTCAGCCTCCCGAGTAGCTGGGATTACAGGCACATGCCACTATGCCTGGCTAATTTTGTATTTTTAGTAGAGACAGGGTTTTACCATGTTGGCCAGGCTGGTCTTGAACTCCAGACCTCAGGACATCTGCCCACCTGGGCCTCAAAAAGTGCTGGGATTACAGGTGTGAGCCACCGCGCCTCGCCCAGGATTAACATTACAAACAGCACGGCGATTTTGTTTGGTTTGACCACTCTGACAAACACCTTAAAAAGAGAATAAATCTGACTTACATTCTGAGCCACCAGAGTAGCCATGTAGCCGCTGCCCCATGGAACTCCCCTATCCTGCTTCCACCACTGTTTGCTCAAGCAGCAGCACTCACTAGTCCCATCCCCAGGAAGCAGTGTGCTTTTCTAGAAGCCAGGAACACTTCAGTGAGCAAAAGGTTCTATAAGTCACACTTACGTAGGAAGAATAGAGTTCCCCGGTCTCTGTAATTTCACCCGCCATTTCCAAAAGTGAGGAAGGGCTGGCAGCCGAGGTTCCTTAGGTGCAGGGGCGGCGGCTGCTGCAGCTCCTTAAAACAAAAGAGCGGAGTTCACCTGTCGGATGGACTGAGATAGGGGTGGGAGGAGGCTTGTAGACTTCCCCCACCACCTCTGGTTCTTTTATCACAGACACTTAGGGCCTCAGTATCTGTCACAAGACTCAACCCCGAGGGAGGGGTCACCCCGGATGACAGATATCTGGACGATTTCTTCTAACTTTTCCCTTGCTGTGCATGGCACTGCTCTGTGCCCAGCACGGATGTTTTCAATGCTGCTCGGAGTGCAAGTGATTGAAGGGGCCTCTAAAGCCACTAAGTCTCACTCACCACAAGAGCCCCCTTTCCACGCTCTGGGGAGGTTATCCCCATTTAATTCCAGGAACCAGGAGCTCAGTACCACACAGGGGAGCCCAAGGAACTGTCTGCCGCCTCTGCCTAGGGCAGGGAGCTGGGGGCTTTCCTACATTACCCCTCCAACCCCACTCAAGGCCCTAAGGCCTTCTTTTCTTAACGGGGCCTCCACTCCCTTGCCCAACCTACTCTCTTAGGGTTCCCCACCCTCAAAGCTCCCTCTTTTCTCAAGAGCCCCACTCCCAGCCTCTCCCTCTCTCTGCCTCCTGGAGGAGTCCCGAGTCTGATGCAGCCCCGCCCCGCCCCAACCTATCCCATCCCGTGCAGTCCTCTCTCGCCCGTCCCGACCCGACCCGACCCGACCCGAC